TAATGGCATTTTCTAAGACATAACACTGACATATTGTAAGCAAGAAGATTTCTATAAATTCTGTCATCTTAAACAACGTAGTGCAGCAATAGTCTTATTGTCCATACATAATGAACTTATTTACTATTGTAAAACTATAGCTTCTATTGATCTGTATAGAAGAAAATTTTAACTATTATTTGAAAGCATTATCAATATCAATATATTGCTGACCTACTGAGTCAGTAAAAAACTTTAATAGATATAAAATGTAATTAATGCCAGACTGATTTTCGATTGGAAATCCGATTACACAACGAAGACTAGATGATTTTAGCGATAATTTAACTCCTAAGGCAGAATTGAAAGGAATGCATTACTTTATTCGAAAAATTTGCTTATTAAGATCTAATCATCAAAACTGAACTATAAGTGAATCCAAATTTAATTAAGATGGTTCTATTAATTGCCAGTATATCAATTTTAATGGCAATTAGACTGGCGAGTAAGAAATAATCATTGGATAATAAAGGGATGACTTCGATGTTAAAATTTTGAGCGGAAATAAATTAAGTGCTCCGAATAACTATTAAATATCGAGGTATGCATTATTAATATGAGTTCTTAAGCTTAAGAAAGATCTCAGGCTTCACTAAACCTAATGATTGCTTTCGAAACTGCACCAATTGAACAGTACTTTTATGGCAATTTCTTATCCTAAGCTTGGTCCGAAATATAATCGAAATGTGAGCCTTCGTTGAGGAGATTGAAATTGTATAGAGGAAATTCATAAACGCAATAACCACTATACTTTATAATACGTCTGTGCTAATAGATAATTTTATAGAATGTTAAATTTATGTCTTGATACCCTACGATTAGTAATAGATTATAAGGTGATGCTTCTTTCATTCATTATTTTATTTTAACTATGCATCTTAGGATATTAAGAAAAGGTTATGCTACGATAGTTTGTGGGCGTGCTGTAACTACGATCTAACACTTATTAGCAGTTATTTTCTTAACTGGTCATGGTAGCAGCAGTAAATCTTTATCGAAAATTTCTATAAAGTAGCCTTTTCCAATTACTTCAATAAAAAAATTGATAAAAATCCATTTGATTTAATAATTAAAATTTCAATTTAGCGATCAGAAATAAGAAAGTGTCTACAAATTAAAATTATTCAATCTATTTTGAGATGTTTATCAATAGCGGAAATGTAATTTCCGATTACGATTCATGTAGCAAGCTATTGAAAACTATTAATCGAAATACTGAAGAAAAGAATCACTTTCAATTATGATCTGTACCTAATTGTGATATATACCGATCACGAAATTCCAAACTTTAGAAAAATAAGAGCTTTATTGAATCTTATACAAAGATTAACTTCACGCAGCTCTAGTCTAGCCGAATACTACTACTAAAGACTTCTACAACGAACTAACTGAATAATCTAAAGTTGCATGCTTTCATACTTTTCGTAGTATTTGTAGCTACAATCCGTACGGCATTCTTTTACCTTATTTTACACATAGTTAAATTATTCTTAGTAACACCATTCTACTGCGGACCATCACTAATCCGATATGGATACGACTACAGTATTTACGTAGACATTATTCACACCAGCCAAAGTATAATAAATTAACCATATTCTAATATATGATTTACGGTTCTATTTTTTACCTATTGCCTTATTAGTAACTCAACACTTTACTGTATATAGTCATCTGTACTCTAGCATAGAGTCTATACCTCTACAGTCTACAGTTATGGCTACCAAATATATCTTAGGATAAATATAGAAGTTACGCTACCGTACATTATACTAAGCATGAATAACAGTCTACAATCACAATACTAAGTTACATTACTCTAATGTACAGTAGACTCTTTCATTTCCTTAAGATTTTAGTTCATTTCGTGAAAATTTGCGGAATTTACTTGGAAAGGTATTATGAAGGGATAGAGCCGTTTCAACGGTATTTTTGGACATGCCACAGGAAATTTACTGGATTTGATGCACGGTCATAATGTACTAATAATTCTAATTAACCAATATAAAAATTGCAGATGATGAGATTAGCTGAGAATTGCTCACTACTTTGCAGATACAAGATCATACTGTTTACAATTACAGTAATTAATCAGCCTCCAGTAATATCGATTTTTTGGGTATTTTACTGCTCCTTAATATCTATTGTTTTCTTTTATTATCCTTGTTCTAGAGCGAATTTATTATTAATACTCCAATACCATACAATTTAGGTAAATCAAAAGATTCTTTAGATCATAGGCTTCTGAATTGCACTGATGACATTACAAATTTCAAAATTCTAGTCTTCATAAGTATCGAAAAGTAATTAATATTTCTAATTCCTTTCTTTAACTATTATCTTATAAGTATATGTCCACTTTATCTTGATTATTTTGCCTTTTATTGAGCCAACATATTGCATCATGACAAATCCATGTAATAGTTAAACATAGAAATTATTCTGAAACCTATCGGTTTAATATGACCTTGATATCAAAGTAAACTTGCGATACATATATATTTTCCATATTTATTCATTTTTACATCAACGTCGTAAATATCATCATCAGACAAAATTTTTAGTGAATTATGCTTAAGAGATCTTCAATAATTGTTTTAAAGCGTTCAATTAAAATTATGAACGTGAACAATTGTTCTTTTTTAAGCATTAGATTTTCCGAAATGATATTAACAAGCGATGCTCAGCAGCGAAATGAAACTTCATTATTTAATAGAATGATGAATTTTATCGTTAGTCAATATTCTACAAGTTAGACTATAAATTTTAAGAATTATAAAATAAAATAAATAAGATTGAATGAAGCAAAAATCATAGATTGCCTTTTATAGTTATACATTACTAACAATTAATAATAACGAATAAAATGAGTTTTACTCAAATTAATATAATCAAGTCAATGACCGCATTAGAATCTGCAAAGTTATTCTTTAAATGAGATTTTCTCCTTTCTTGAAAACTTTGCTCGATCAGATTGCCAACAAATGTACAATATGATTCAAATTCCAATTAATGTAGCTATTTCGGTGTTTTATTGTAAGAATAGTTTTATGATTAAGTAAGTTACTTGATTAATATAATCTTATGCAGCATGAACTTAACAGCTAATAAAGAATGTTATAGAATCAAATAACTCAGTGATAATTTAAGATAAAATTAATAAAGTTTACATGAGTAATCCTTCACCTTAAATATTCCCCTACTTTAGATAGGCCGTTACTTTTATGTTAAATTGAACCAAATTTTATTTTGTGTTGGAAGTCATTAGATGATTAAATTTTTAGTTTGTAATAGCTTAATTAGCAGAGAATTTTTTCAATAAGAAATTTCTATGAATGTTAAATAGCAACGGAATCGTAATTGTTTAAAGTTAGACGGCTCGTATTTAATTTGAAGCAATATAGTTAATAAAAAGATTCTAACGAAATTTTCTTCTTTTACAGTGGCTAGTTATATACACTATGCAAGCACGCACACCAAACAGGATATTCAGGTTAGTAAGATATTTGTAATAGACAGGTGTCCAAAAATTTAGCTTAAGGACGTTACCTTCACCTAAAGTTAATTTGTGCCAGTATCTAATTAAGAAATAACGTTTAGATGGTGGTGTTATTTCACTAAAGTGGTCATCGATATTAAGCATCATGAATTATGAATTTCTGAGCATTTTGATAATCTAGAAATGACTGCTTGAATGCTTGGAATAATTGCCAATTTAACTCGGCCATTGCGTGTACTACTTTGCTTAACTTTTATATTTTCTTTGGATAATTACGTTATCTTTGCCTTCCTTATACTAATAGTCCGGAACTTTCCAATAATATTATCAACTGAAAATCTATGATTATTATCTTGTATCACTTAAAATTATCCATTACGCAGCTTAAAATTCTTAAAAATACATGATAACTATACTGAAATCATTTATACTGTGTCGATCAGAGTTTATCATTTACGATTCAATTCCAACAGCGATATATTTAATTGTTAGTGTTTGCGGCTGTTTTATTTTAAAATGTTACGAATGCAAACATGGTTATTCAGAATTTTAATTACTGACACATATGTTTAGCGCTAATTTAATGAAAGCGTATGCTATAATTGCAATTTTGCTTTTTCACTCCTGTGGTATTGTTTTTGTAAACATGTTTTATATTGTAAACGCCCATGTAACAGTGTTATATACTTTATTAGAGTAGAAATATCTGTTAAGATAATTTTGTTAGCCAATCCTTATTTAATTAATTTCTAACTTGAATATACTGTGTTTTAATATAGCACTGACTTTTTTGACAGTGACATATATATACACATACTGAAATTAATAGTTATAATAGGGAATACAAATCATCTACTTACAGTTCGAATCGTTGTGATTGTAACTTACTATGGTAGATTGTAAATTGTCGCGGAAATGTTCCGTGATAGAACATATCATAATCTGACTATTCTGTATTAGTCACCAGATGTCTACGTTCGTAAATAATGTTGTCTGCATTAAGGAAGCAGTAGCTAAAATTAATATCTAATTCAGTGAATGATTCCAAAGTTAATCGTACTAACTATAACTCATGAACTATTTAGGAAGAGCATATAAATGCAGTATATCGTGTAATAAAGTGGATTCTTGAAGTTAGTGTTTAACGTAAAATACCAGGCATCTAAGTTTTTATGTAGTCTGCTAGTAGAGCAAAAGTGTTTCTGATTGTGCAGATATCGTTCCTTGATACGTAGTTCAAGGAATTGATTTATTGATCGAACATTACGTTATCTTGTTGCAAAGCTGTTTTGTGACAACCCACTTATTTATATTCCCTTTTGTTATTTTGTTTTGTAAGAGATATTTTTAACAGGTAATTTCCTTGGCGCCCGATTGATTAAATGGTATGCTATCCCTTAAGGCGAAGTATTCCTAAGGCAGGAAAGCCTTTGATCATTTTGTAATTTTGGCACAAAAGTACAGCAGAGTATAGAGGTCAAATAGTTTTTGTAGTTGCATATTTACCTTGATTACAAAAGAAAATTTTGATTGCACTGTTATCATAAAAGTATTGTAATAGTAACTAGAGCAGACAAAGCTACTCATTACTTGAAACAATGTGTAAATTCAAAAAAGAAGTGCTTAAAGTAATAGCGAGTTCTAAATCATTCCATTCGTAAATGAGCCCATACTACCTAATATGAATTTTTATGTAAATTAGAAACTGATAATTTCTAATATGTGATGACCGTGTAATCTGCCAATTTTTTTAATTTTCACAATTTCATTTATCAAACGAATTACCATGAGTGCAGTTGGTGACTATAAATGAAACTCTTGCTCCTAATATTTCCTCAACATTTCAAATCTTTCAAATTGTCCAACGGCTTTTCGTATTGCCTGCCATCGTAGCTTTGGTATTAAATGTTTGTATCATTCGAAGTATCTTTCAAAGCAAAGACTTACTAAGATCATCGACGTACCGCTACATTGCTAATATGGTATTTTCCGATCTGGCTACGGGGATCATATTTACTGTATTACCGTTTATATCTTCATTTCCTTTACCTTATGTTATAGCCGATATAATTTGTCGTACTTTGTCCTATGTTACTGGTGTAACATATATGGCTTCTATTTTGAGTTTAGTAGCCATTAGTGTCGATCGATATCAAACTATAGTAAAATCTTTATCAACACGTTATCAATCTAAAAAGTTAATCATCAGTAAGAGGGTTATAGTGTTGATTTGGTTGATTAGTATTACATTCTCTATACCATTAGTATATGTAACTGGTGTTATATCAGAAGAAGACAAATCTTGTGCTATACTTAATCGCGGAATGTCTAATCTGATTTATTTCTTCTCCATCACGTCACTGCTATATGTAGTTCCACTAGTTGCGATGTTAATACTATATTTTAAAATTTATCGCTATTTAGTTAGAAGATCACGTATGAATACTATTTCGCATTCAGACATTTCTTCGAGTGGAAATATGACTTTTTTAAATAATTCTAAAAGAAAGGATCTAGTTAAAACTCTTATCACAATTACTGGCGCTTTTGGATTGATGACATGGCCTTTCTTTGCAATGGCATCAGGAACGGCTGTTACTGGAATTGATATTCGAGATTTATTGAGAACTAACATATTTCTGTTCCTCCTTGCTGCATTTGCTGCCTCCAGTACAGTCATGACATCTGTGGTGAACCCAATCCTATTGATTTGCATAGACAAGAACATTGGTACTCGAATATCAATACCATTGATAACGAAAAGACATGGCAGTAACCCCACGCTACGAGATAATGGCACTAGTAGTTTTAATCGTGCCAAAAATAACACAGTGAAGCCTGCAACTAAGCTTTCTACTTAGACTAACCAAAAGCTACCTTTACATTTATACTGGTTCGTATTGCATAATAATATTATTTATGTCGGCAAACAAAAATAGACTTTCATTTTTGAGATAAAAATTTTTTAAAGTTTTGATTTATAAACATATACGAAAGTAACTTGAAATAATTAGTTATAAAGATTATAATCTGTGAATTAGTTTATTTTCTTGTCGATACATATTGAATTGCAATATCAGTAGGTTTAATAAAAGATTTACAGATGGAACGTCTAATTAGTACGTTTTAAGATAACTAGTTTCAAAATTGTAATTATCTATCAAACCTGGAAAATGCACGCCAATCCATATGGCTAACGACACGAACTAAATACACGGCATAGACTATCTTAGAAAAGCGCTAGAAATTTGAAGACCGATAATTATTTTATATTGAAGGCAATGATTTAAATTCGTAAATGAAATGGAAGTAATAAATTGGCCGTAGAATTATCAAATTTGTATAAAGTTCAACATAGACCCTCTTGTTATCACCTACAATTGATGCTTATATCATTATGAATTGATCATATGTATCGAAGTAAGATATTTCTGTAAAACTTTATTTTTTATTTTGTTTAAATTATAGCCGTAATAAGTAGAAAATAGCGTTTTGCTGCAAGAATCATCTTACAGGTAGGGCCGTTGTTATAATTTTTTAGGTCTACCTCAGATTTGAGTAGCAAATTTAGAGGTACTACAAAGGAATAAATCAGTATTAATGATCATTTGATTTCAATCGAAATAATTCTAATCCCGTTTAAAGTCACTTTCTAATTAGTATGATGCTTAATTACCGGTAATCATATTTAAAATTTAGGCTTGCTGATTTATGATGAAGGTTTAAAGGTCAAATAGCTAGTATAAGTTTTACATCGTCCAATGAATTGTCGTATAATGGTCAGCTTATTTCGAAAGAATGCCAGTTTTCATGTATAAGTCACATGATAATATCTGAATACTTTAAAATGTATCAACTTGATGTATGAATAGCTAGTTTTTGAGTATAATGTCTTTGCTATTTATTATGTATGCATAGAATGCTATCTAGCTATCCATAGTTTCGTTAACATATAAAATTAAATCTTAACATCAGAAGGAGTAGATCCGAACATAAAATTGCCTTTCTAAATTATTCAAATTTATAAAATGGACAAATTACTTTATGCTGCATACGTTTCACAATATTTTAAAATTAGATATTAAAGGATTTTGATTTTATGCCTCTAGTATTTCTACCCTATCCTATATTGCGTTGAAATAAGGATTACTAATTTTCCAATGCTTAAACAGAGAATAGGAATAATTTTGACGGTGCTATACTATTTTAGTCAATTATTATATAGTGAATTCAGATAGAAAATTGTAAGCATGCTTTAAAATGTCACAATCAATTCTTAGCGGTAAGTTTAAATTAAGTCATTTTTATGTAAAATTTTTAAGAAAAGAATTACCAAGTTTTTGATGTAGGCATATGTCAGACTAAGCGCAACTTCGATCCTAGAATTCTTCTCACTTATATGTACCTAGCAATAAAAATATAGAATTTAAAATCTAAATTAATCTTAAAAGTATCATCATACATATAAAAAACCTCAATGTCCGGCTTTTAATTACCCTTAGTCATAGAAGGGGAAGATATAGAAATACTTTAGAATCAATCTATTTAATTTAGCCGTACATCACAATTGATCTGATACTTAGTGGTGTATCATTTGATCGTTCGACGAATTAGCTTAGTCTGCTTTAAGGGTCTCACTTAATCAAATGTATTAAATAGGAAAGATACTGAAGTAAAAAATACCTTCGAAGTAGATAAGTACTGCATTAAAATTTCGATATCATCGTTTTCTACTTTTCTCAATTTATTAAGTCTAAAATTTCAATAAAGTGGCTCATGAAGGAACTGTACCAGAAATTAATTCTTTGCTTACGACTTTAAAGCACGAATCTGCTCGTATACAAATAGGATGTCAGCTAGTACTATCTTCAACGAATTTCATGTCCAATAAACTATATTTGCAACTTCGGTAATACTCGTACAGTGCTCTCTGCTGCTGCGGTAAAGCTTATATACGTCCCGTACTAGAATAGAACATCATTACGCATACATTGATTACATTATAGTTTAAGACTTTGATGAGTGGGCTAGCAGACTATGCTAATATTTGCATGATTTTTCAGATTTCTTAACATTATGAGTCTACAATTCGAGATACGTATATCAGCTAAGGCAAGCCATCCTGCCACTAGCTACATTTCTTCAGTATGTTCTCTGTTGGATAACATAAAAAATAGCGATCTTTTCATCCATAAGAAACTAGAAAAAAATAATACGTCGCCAATTAGACTAGCTATAATTTTATTTAGCCGTAACTTAATACCTTAACTTAGTTATATAGAAATAGATAAGCTGATGCTGTGACTTTATAGGTTCAACGGTATTCTATATAAATTTATATGTGCTTACTATCTTAAGTTTTAATACATAGGTGGCATACAAAAAATGATGGATATTGTCACTACAATGTGTGAAAACTTTGTAATCTAACACAAAAGGAAAACGAAACATCTGCAGAAGGGTCATTCATGCCATTTCCACCTTCATCAGTATGCAATAAATTATAACTTAGCTGATTTAAATATTTAATATCTCGGATTTTCGATATTGCTCCAATCACTACGTATCAGATCCTTGATAAGAATTCTTATCTAACGTAAAAATCCTTTTAATAGATAATTCTATCTCTTATTGTAGTTCCTGGTTAGCATTAGAATTCCTTATCACAGAAATTCAATTTTATTTTTTTAAAATTAAACTTTTAGAGTCATTTCAAAATTTTATGCTGATGGTGAACGCAATATCTATTCTACATGAAGCTAAAAAAAATAATTACAATTTTTAATATTACTTACCAAGTAAGAAATATTTATGTTAACCACTCTTTTGTAAGATTTAATCGAACTATTTATTTCAATTAATTCTACAAATCAAACAGGAAACATACTCACAGTCAGTGGAATGTTTTCAAAAATTAAGAAGTCAAGATAATTAAATGAAAATTATACATTTCTATAATTTTCGCCATTATCTTTGGTATATGGCACTTTTTAAATTACATCCAATCAATGTAAATTAAATCTTGTAATAGATTATGATGGTATCAGCTCTCTATTACAACTGACAACATGACTCCATCACGATCTTTTGCAAAGTATTTGCGTAGAATAGATGATTGCAATGATGGTTCTAATATACATTCTCGTTTATTGTAGTATTTTTAGCAAAACTGATACTTAGATACAATTAAGCATGAGTTAATGACGAATTTTTTAATCAAAGTATTTCCAAACTTTTTACAGCTCTATAAACTATAATATCTAAATTAGAGTAGAAATATCTAAATTACGATAATTTTGTTGATTTTTCCTTATTTAAAGAGTTTCTAATTTAGATACGTGATTTTTAAGTATGACAATAGCTTTTATGCTGTTATATATAGATACAGCCTACTGAAAATTAGTAGTTTAATTAGCGAATCGAGAATAATCTTCTTACAATTTAAATCACAGTGCTTGTAACTTACTTATGGTAGATTGTAGATTATCGCAGAAATGTTCCGTAATAGGACATATTATAATCTGACAATTTTGTATTAGTCATTTGATTTCTATCTTCACAAATACTGTTTTCTTCATTAGATAGCAGTAGATAAATTAGCTTTTGATTCATTAGCAGGTTTCAACATTAGTATTGCTAACTAAGATGTCTTTGCTGTTGTAAAAGAGTATATATAAATGCGATATATCGTATAATAAAGATAGTTTTTTAAGATTAGTGTTTAACGTAAGATACGAGATGTGCAAGTCTGTTTGTAGTCTACTAGTATAGGAAAAGTGTTCCTGAAAGAGTAAACATTGCTCCCTGATATGTGGTTCAGGGAATCGACTTTATGATCGTACATTACCTTCTCTTATTGCAAAGCTATTTTACAGCAAAACTATGTTTAACAATAAATTTACTAATGTAGCCCGGTATTCAGAAAATTAATCACGAAGGTAAAATACAAGAATAAAAAACTGATATTATTAGGGCTGAAAGTACTTAATATTGAGAAGTACAATTTCGAAATAAGACCTGTAGCTGAGGATTTTAATTTTTTCCATTCGCATATAATCAACTATTAGTTAAAATAATTGGAAAATTTCCAAACTCTATCCCATTATTGGTATTATATTGACGATTCCTAATAATAGATGGCAATTGTTTTTGACATATGACTTATTACCTGAATAAAATAATTCATACTTTCATAGTAACACTAAATAATGTAGCAAAACTAGGTGTTCATTTCAATCACTAATTTTATCTGGAATGCTTGAGTATATCGTATTACATACCGGTTTGGTATATAAGAACTGATTTTGCTTCATTAAGCCGTCTATTTAGCAAAGGAAATTATTTTTTTAAAGCAATACATATAAAAGAATGCATAATGACATGGTTAAATAAAATTTCATAATCTGAAATCCGATGTAAAACTCTGTTATTCTAACCTTTCTTTATAATACTGCTGTATTTTATTATGCGTCGTCTAATTGGACAATAAAACTAATCAATAGCAAAGCAGAGAAATAAAATTTATTACTAAATGCGAGCAATTGTCTAAAACTGCAGTTCATGGCTTGTTTAACCCTAGGTTTGCCATACGGTAACTCAAAATTCTGCATTATTAAAGTAGAGCAAAATCTCTAGCGTGTTACAAACAGTCAACACCATATTGTTAGCGTTTATTGTACCCATCTATTGGTTAAGAAATTAAAATTTTTCCCCTTATAAGAACAGTTGAAAGTGCGTGAAAGAAACCGGATGATTGACTTGAACAATAAGTAATAAAAGTAAATACTGTAATACTTACTGGCAATTAAAGCCAATTATTCTTATCGGCTAGCCTCTACGATAACAATTCTATACGACTTATATAAATTACAATTAAATACTCCTCTACATATGAGTCATCAATCGTATCAGTATATTTCTTAGTAACAATAATCAGTATGACTATCACCTGTATCGTTCTATAGTACATAGTACAGGCATAATGGAGCCATTTTATCACACAAGCCTTAATTAAGACTTACTTTATTAAGATATGCATTTCTACATCGCGTACTATCACTGTACTTCCTAACACATAAGTACTGTTATTAGCTGAAATTATTACAAAAACCAACAATAAAACCTAGCTGCATATTCTTAATTTATCTAAATTAATTAATATCCAGAGCTAAGGCTACGTGGAACAATCATGTTTAGATGAGTGCCCAATGGCAGCATGACAACTTATCTAAAGTATTTCAAACAGGACTTCTCTTAAAAATTTTTCAATTGCTTGTAGGCTATTAGCCGTGCTTATTACGAAGCACGGCAGTGTCTTTTCTATATATATCTCAAGATATATATTTAGTAGCCATAATTATAGACTGTAAGAATAAACTCTATGCTTGACTATAGATGGGCTATATACAGTAATATTTTGAGTTACTAATAAGGTTAGAGGTAGAAATAGAATTGCAAATCATATATTAGGATATGCTTAGTTCATTCTGCTTTTAGTGGTAGGAACAATGTATGTCTAGAAAAATACTGTAATCTTTTCCATATTGGATTAATTAGACTTTGCTGTAAAATATTGTAACTAATAATAAGCTGAATATGTGTAAAATATGGTAGAATGCTGCTATGCTGATTGTAGCTGCTAAAGCTGAGGAGAGTATAAAAGCAGGAGACATTAGATTATCTGATTGTTCTTCTAGAAGTTTTTCAGTAGTAGTATTCGGCTAGAGTAGAGCTGTGTATACATTGTCTTTTGTATTAGATCTAATTAAGTTCTAATTTTCTACAACTTTGGAATTTTCGTGATCGGATTTTATCACATTAATGAATTGGTATTCTATTCAATAATGCCTTGAAAGCTGCCATTTATATGTCTAAAATTATCATTTTAGCTACGTAATAATCACTTCAATGGTTATTTCGGAGAATTGAGTTGAAACTAACTGTTTGCAAAATAAAAAACAGGAACTTATCGGGTGTGATATCCGAGAAATGAATTCAGCATATAATAGCTGAATCATAATATTTTTTTTTAATTCTAATCAGGCTTATAAAATCTGTAAAGCTATTACTTGAAATGTAATATATGTTATTAATTAATGAATTATAAGCATGCTATACGATATCACGAACACATAAATATTGGCTTGCACTAACAATGATTGCGCTACAGATATTAAAATCATCTTAGCTACCGGTAATGATCTATTTATCTGACTTATACATGAATAGAATATTCTAATTAGACCTTTGTATAAGAGCTATAAATCTAAAAACTTACTTCAAACGCATTTACGTCACTTGTCAACATTTTTAAAATACTTAAAGCACGTACCCGCCCAACCAATATTAAAATTTCACAATAGAGGTGCATCTAATTAAAACTAACTCAATAGTTTAGTTTCATGAATTATCCCATTTAATTTAGGCAAAGCAATATTTATTAAGATTATTTTCAGTCTGTTTGACATAACTAACTGAATAGCCATGACCATATCACATCACTCTACGTTTAATCAGACTACTGAAGGCCTTGATAATGATTTTAATACGTACAACGAGACTGTATTTCGGTTTCTTAGAATAGCACAAATCTCTTTTGCCTTTCCAGCCTTAATTTCGTTAATATTAAATGTACTTATAATTCATTCGATATTTTCAAGCAAAGAATGGTCAAAATCACCGACATATTATCTCATCGGCAATATGGTAACCTGTGATATTATGACGGCGTCTTTATTTATTGCCTTTTCCATCGTTTCGTGCTTTACGATATCATTTTTCAGTTTAGACGTTATTTGTCGAGCATTATCGGTAGGTACTGGAATATCATACATGGCTTCAGTGTTAAGTTTAACAATTATAAGCATCGATCGATATCTATCCATTCTCAAACCTTTTCTGTTTCCATCTCGAAACAAGAAATTATCTGTTATTAAATCAGTTATCGTCCTTATTTGGATTATTAGTATTATGGGCGCACTTCCTTTCGCAATCGTCACTGGGGCCATATCAGGAACGGATAGTACTTGTGGAATAATCTATCGCGGCGTAATCAGTGTTATCTATTTTTTATTGCTTACATTGTTATTGTATCTAATTCCCATAATTACTATGGTTGTATTATATGTAAAAATCTATCATTATTGGATAAAAGGCATTCGTCGACGATCCCTAGCGAAAAATACCACTTCAAATAGTTTTCAAGGAAAATTCTTAACGCAGATGGAACGCAAAGCATTAATTAAAACATTAGTGATTGTTACAGCAGCATTTGCTATCATGTCTTGGCCTTTTTTAGTTATGGCCTTAGCGCTAGCAATCTCGGGTGTTGGTATCGAAGATGTAGAAAAAAAAAATACCTTTTTATTCGTACTATGTACTATTGCCGTTTCTTGTTCTGCTAGTACTTCTATTGCAAATCCAATGCTACTGATGAAGTTTGATAAGAACATTCACCGTCGATGCATAAATATTCTTGCTCAATTTACAAATACATTTTTTTCCCATAACCGTCGTAAAATATTTGTGTCATACAAACCTAACCTGTCCCCAAATACATTAAGCGTTGGTAAAGATGGACTTATCGGCTAAGACTAATCGCTAAATGGTCTTTGATTTTCAAATTACGTTGCATTACTAAAAATAATCATCTTCTACGATGACTTTGAAATATCTGGCATGATTGCAAGCCCTTAAGAGTGAACTTACAGAAACAGTATATGAAAAAAATCATGCTAAATTTATTTTACAGTAGAATTATGACATGCTATTTCTTTATCCTAAGTTAAAGTCTACCTCTTTAAGTTTGAATACGGTAATCTTAAGCAAATGTGCAATTGATTTAGAACAAAGAATATTTCTAATAATATCCTTTGTTTGATGATTGGTAATGATTTTTCAACTAATAAATTGTATAAAAATATTTCTAATTGAAAATTGTTCAGGTAAGATAGGGTGCATGCTGCCTTATTTTTATTTATTTTATTTTATTTACTAATAAAGCATAAATCTTTCTTTATCACTATTGATATTATAGTAATTTCAGCTAATTACGGTAATAGAAAGGACGATAAACTGTTATAGTTAATAAAATGATCGTGTGATGGCTGATATGATGAACAGTATAGTTAGCTATTGGATTCTTATAAAGCCGTAGCTGACAGCTATTTTAAGTTAGATTTTATATAGTGCACCTATATGATTCTTAAGTTGTACTGAATTGTTGTTGTAGAGGCTTTAAGTCAATTATTCGTTTTATCTCAGCCACTTTCAACTACTTTTATGAGGAAAAGAAAAGTGAATTTTTATTCTTGATGACTGATATTAATAAACGATATCTGTAAGGTTGAAAAACGGCGTTAACCTAATTTTGTGACATTAGATAATTAGTCAGTTTTCATAACTGAAATTTTAATTTATTGAATTGATAACTTAACGATTATTAAACCTATTCACTGCAGCCATTAGTCTGGAACAGTGTCTGTCTTAACTCATTTAGAAAGGCCTAGCTAATAATGATAGATGCTATGCACGCTAGAAACGATGCTGATACATTATAATAATTTCTTTATATTATAATTATTACTGAAGTTAAATTAGTAATGAGTGTATATAAAATCGAGCTTTACAGCACGAAAAAATCTGTAACAAATTTAATTGAACTCTTTAATTTGCATTGTAAATATGGAAGGATAAACCTATAATGTACAGGTTACTGGTCTCCTCGACAACTGTAGCAACAGTTTAGTGCATAGTTTAAGAAAATTCTAACATTATTCTTTATTATTAGAGAGGTCTCTTATATAGTCATGCATCAATTTACACATCCGATTACAAAGATTTTACGATTTTAGATAAGAACAATACTTCAGAATCCTGTCTAATTCAACAGCTTTTTAAGAAAAACTATGGAACATCTTTAATAAGGATTTATTATACTTATTACAGTGATTTTAAGTTTCACAATTTCTCATTAAATATCGATTAACAATTTATAATTCATGTGAGAATCCATTACTGTGAAAATATAATATTCAATTCAGATTTTGACTGTGGTTTCTTAGTCGCCAACAGCTATGGAAGCTTCATAAAATATGGATAAGAACTAGCCTATCCATTTAAATATGATTAAAAAATGAAGTCCCTTTAGAAACGCCTTTTTTATTTTGTTGTTATACAGCACAAAGGCTTATAGACAATTACTAAAGAATAAACTTTAGAAATAGAAGTAAAACCTTAGTGTATTTTGTTCGCATACTAAGAGCACATTAAACATTGCTGGTTATTTATGGGACTTTTGTTGCAAGTCACAGTATATATTAATATCACAGCTCATGATATTAAAACGAGGATAATTTAGCCAAGTAAAAGATAAACCACATCATGACTGCTGTATCTTATAAAGGCAGTACAGCCATCATACCATCATGATGTATGCTGCTTTCTGGGCAATTAGAGCTATTCATTTTAACAAAATTAATACCTCGAAATCATTTTATTAATTAATATGATGTACTAATTCAATCTAATTGTATCACAGTTCGAGCTTGCTACAAAAGAACTTTTTATAACTAACATATACTCAAAGCCACAGCTGGGATAATTCTTCTTGAATTACAGCTACCGCTTATATTCACGAAAAGACAACTACCACATAGAATAATTGCCCCCAAAATAAGTTATTTCGTTATTTTTTTATAAAAAGTACAAAATAATGGTAAGCATTCAAACCAGTTTCCCTACATCATACAACTTTCTACAGATTACTAGTACAGTGCATTTGTTAAAGATAGACTTTAGATTAGTTTTTTTAAAGGAAAAAGTGGGGGGGGGGGGAAAGGGCAGAAAATCGAATCCAAAATTGCATGTGGTGCACACCTCAATATCCGCACCACAGAGTCCATATACATGATACAGCGAAGGTAAAAATAAATTGTTCCATTCTATAGTATTTTATAGTGCTATCGCTGTTGCTGTTTTAGTTTGCTGACTGCGGCGGAACTGGGATAGCTCATGATGTACTACGACTATCGGATCAGTTTGTAATACTGTAGAGTACCGTACTATTTCGAGCGCTACTCTGAACCAATCACTAAATAATTTGTCTCTCAAATGTAAAGGGTTAAAATTATTTTTTGAACATTATTGTAGTAAATCTTAGAGTACGTAAATCAATCGCAGCTTGATTTCTCTGACTGAACTTCATCCTAAAAGAGCAAGCCTTTCATATCCTTTATTAACAAAACTAATGCCAAAATGTAATACTTGATTCTGCAAGCTATACCAGTTCTAACGCTCCCATCTTATGATTATATTGATCCTACGATAGAAGCTATTTCCTACGCAGAAAGTCGGAGATGATTGCTCCAAGGATTAAATAAACAAATTAACAACCTTACATTTATAATGTACGCTAGTTGATAACGTGCTTTTAGTGTGCAGTTCTAGTACTGTACCAAGATATTATTAACCGTAGTTGTAATATACTATAGGATTACAAGATATTATGGCATTAATATTTGTTAAATTTTGTTCTTCTATAGTTGCTTAATTTCTCTCGAATTAAAAACAGAGTTAAATTGATTTATTCACTACCTTTCCACCTTTCCAACATCGGATATAATCAGATACTAGGGATATCTTAGCATACATACATATATTCTAAAAGATTATCTGATAGTCCGGGACTCGTAACCTTCGTAAAGTAAATTAGAACTTAACAGCTTTGCACGCTAGATTGAGAATATAGTACTAAGAATAATCCTATTGACCGTCGAATATCGTGCAGTTGTTAAACTTGACTCAACAGATACGTTGAAATGTTCTGTAAGTCAGCAAATAGTTATTCGAAGTATTACGAGCTGGGTGCTTCGACAAGTGTGTATAACTTACCAGAACTATAGGAGATAAATTTTATAATAAAATAGAGATCCCAATGATGAGTGGTAAGATGGCGGTACCAGTTCGATGAGGATTTGTAGTGTTAAAAATATTACTAATGGCGCTGGGATAGTTAAGTGCCACTAGTAGATAAAGTAGAGTCGTCAGCAATACTCTTAAGTGAGGAGACAAGGTGCCTCGGTAAGCAGCGTCAGTAGATTTCGGTATTGAAACCTGCTTAGGAAGACTTATTTCTTTAGGAGCGAAATTATTAGTCTGCGGCCTAGCCGTATACTGCTACTTATCATATTGTCTAGGTAGTACTCTGTAAAATTTAATAATAAATATTTTTAAGTAGTAAACTATTTCGTCCATTATGACGGGAAAATGATTTATTGAGAGACTGTCTTAAAGTAGAATAGAATAGCTCTTATTACAAATACACAAAATTAGCATCATGAATCGGTAGCACCAAGTTGCTTATGACTAAATAACAGGAATCAAAACAATAAATATTTCAAACATCGAGTATCAGACAGTGATTTAACTTTTTATTGTTTTTATTAGCAAAGTAGAGAACGAATTGTAGACGGATAAAAAGTGAAATATATACTATTCAATTTGTGATAACTAGGCCAGGCAGCGTATTGGTATTAAATTTTAAGTTTATTACGAATCGAACATTTTAATAAAATAGCTTCTAGAATAAAGTTTTGATCCTTAACGTGAGTAATCTATCATCTAAGACTCGAATCTAAGTTTGGTTGATTAAAGAGTGCTTAGAGTTAGTTGCTTAGATAGTTAAGTCTACTTTAGAGGAAAGAATCCCGTTTAATTCTTGTGTTACAATCTCGGTTGTGACAAATAGCAAATATTTCTCTCGGTAATGACGTCAATCATAATGCTAATTAACGGATATTTAGAGCGACCCTTATAATTACGGCCACCGCCCCCCGGATTGTGGAATTACGCTTCGGTGACTGTTATTAGGTGGATCGTTTACTTTTGGCAATACAAATAAATAGATCACGGTTAACAAAAACAATTATTTATTCTTCCTGTATATTACGCCACCTTAGGGTTTTGTATATTTTCGAGGCTACCAAATATTAGCACTCGATCTCGTACAGGAGATCTCACAACTTTAAATTCATTTTTACTAACTGAGCAGCATATGTACAAAGTATGCCAATGTAAACAGTTCACCAACACAATAGTAAATACAACTTCAATGCGTTAGATATTTATTAGCCTATTCTCCTAATCTAATATATTTACCCATATCTTTAATAAAGCAAAGCAGAAAGAATAGTTGATCACGGCAAATACCTTTAATAACAAACACTAAAAAAACATATCGTTATAACGTAAACATGTGTATCCCCACTAGAACGTTATAATTAATTAATGTAGATTATCGTGGTAAAATAATAATATACAATCAAACAGAATTTATTATTCTTAGATTGCATATTCTAAATTGTAACCTTGAATAGAATTCATTAAAATTTATATTTGTAGTTACTTAGGTTTAGCTATCTGATAGATACTCTGTAATTCTATAGGAATGTTTGGAACTTCAAGAGGTGTAAGATTAACAATTTTTGGCTTTCCATAATTAGATAATTTAGTAAAATCACGATTTCGTTTGCCTCGGTCCTTAAAACAGTTATAAGGATCTATTTAAGCCTATAGATACGTATGAAGGATGA